TCAGATTTGTAATGACAAATGTTATAATTTGAATTATTCAAATATTAATCATATATATATTCAGTATTAAATATATCCATTTTGTAGTCCTTGTGCTGCCGATATGATAAGATGAAATGTGTTATTTCATTTTCTAGTACTTAAAAAATATTGATATAAATAGTTATTAAATAATCTTTATTATTGTAACATTTAATAAGATACCTTCATGTTGAGGTTGTATGATTGACTTTGAAGTTTTGTTATTTCCTAGAAATTTGGTTAGATTAAGGCTTTATTTATATTATTTCATAAACAACTCAATTATGCTTCATAAGAGTCCGCTAAGTTACCTTAGGAAAACCTTAAAGTTTTCCCAAACTTATGACGATTTTGATAATTTGTAATTATTATGTATGGAATTGAATCTATTGCATATGTTCTCCGCTATTGTACAAGATATTTGTAAAGTATTTATCTATATGTATATTTCTGTACGCCTTTATATGCAATGTGCATTTGGTAATAAATTGAATTGAATTACCTTGTACAAAATGTAAGAATGTAATGTGTGACTAAGAGTGTGGTGTTGAACAGTTAATTAATCAGTTAATTAATCGAAATTCCTCGATGTTATAAGTATCTTATAACTATCATAAAAATCATTGAACATCTATAATTATCAAAGCTATCATTTCCATCCAGGTGAGCTAAAAGTGATCACGGCTATGCTAATTACTGAGATGATGATGAGTGTTACCATTATATCCAACTGTACAGCTCAAGCAGTATTACACTGAAACTAGAATATCTACGAAACTATGAGTCTACTTCGAATTCCCACTACTAGACAACTCCCCACTACTAGACTACTACCCTCTACTAGACTACTACCCACTACTAGACTACTACCCACTACTAGACTACAAGACCATGGCGAATGCACAGATTCAGGTCAAGTTTGTAAGAAACAAACGTGGCGGGCGAAGTCTTGCATATGAAGGTTACATTTTATAGTGTTAAGAACAACAGAGGTGAGAAGACCACCAAGGGCTGTTTTTTCAACTT